CGATGATGACGATGACGATGAGGATGATGATGAGTGATGACGATGATGATGATGATGACGATGATGACGAAGACAATGATGATGATGGTGGTGGTGGTGGTGATGATGATGATGATGATGATGATGATGATGACGATGACAACGAAGACGATGATGATGATGGTGGTGGTGGTGGTGGTGATGATGATGATGATGATGACGACGATAATGATGATGATGATGATGATGTGATGATGATGATGATGATGACGATGACGACGATGATGATGATGATGACGATGACGACGAAGACGAAGATGATGATACCTTTCTGGTTATTCTACAATGATATATATGCTTTATATAACCAACATTTCGCGTTGATATGGTAGATTTTTGGTTGTTTAGCATTATGATACATTGGATCAAGGGTGTAATTAATCACCCAAACCAACAAAAATCAACAATAACACGCATTTATATATACGCCAATGCTAACAACATCCGTCTCATCTAGCAACACATAAATGAAACATAATCGATCTATCATTTGCGGCCGATGTTTGTGACGTCACCGACCTTGATGACGTCATTTTACACGCAGGTCGCCTTCCTCGTCTGGTGTATGGCGCCATTCAAACGTAACGGCGCCCACGTGATCTACGAAAACGTCATCAAGCCATTCATCAAGCGGAGAGAGAAGGGCATCGATTCCACGATCGATGAGATCAAAGAAGCCGCCGAGGACACTCTCAGCAGCGGTAAGCATTCCGGCAGTAGCCGTGTATGATTTCCACGCGAAATTCGACGATAGATGGCAGCACGATATCAAGGTTTCGCGATCAGGTGTATGCGTGTGTGCGTGCGTGCTTGCGTGCGGTGTGCGTGCATGAATGCGAGAATAAGCAAAAGAATGATGCAAATATACGTGTGTTTGTGCGAAAAAGAGAGAGAGAGACACACACACCGAGAAACTGATAGAGAAAGTGTGAGCGAATGAGTGAGTGCGAGATAAAGAACGAATGAGAGAAAGAGAGAGAGAGAGAGTGGGGGAAGAGCTAGACTGAGAAAAAGAAAAAAATCTGGATTAGAGAACGAGACAGACGGATAACGAGGGAAGGAGATAGCAACATTCACCCACTAAGATTGCGAATTGAGCCAATATTAGAACTAGTGATTGAGCCATCACCTTCAACCGCCTAAAATATGATGAACGCATCAAACGACTTTCTGAAAAACATTATTAGCGTTAGCGACGTTTGCACATACTTTGATCATCAAAAATGTTGCCGGGCCTTAAAGGCGCGTTGATATCTACAAGATACACACGCGTCGAGTGAGATCACAGGCGCGAGTAAATACGCTGTGTATTAACACGAGGGGTTTCTAGGCGCGCGAGTGAGCTCAATACACACAGTCGCGTTCCAAAGTCGTGTTTACCGCTCGCTAGACTAATGTGACCTACAGAATATATGTAAACTGGGCGAAGCACGCACGCACGCACGCACGCACGCAC